CTTCCTCCTCCTCCTCCTTCCTCCTCCTTCCTCAATGGTGAGCCATTGGCCTCCCCTGTTCCTGCTCCTTCATCCATGTGAGGGAGCAGGCTGGGATTTTCGGAGCTGGTCTGTGTTTTCCAGGTAACATCATGGGAGTCGGGCAATGTCTAATCCACGGCCTCACCGTGGTGATCAGGAAGAAATTCTCTGCCAGCCGCTTCTGGGACGACTGCAGCAAGTACAGATGCACGGTGAGGGCTCTGTGGGCGCTGGTTTTGGTGCTCGAGCGTGCCGGCTTCACTGCTTAATCACTAATTTCCAGATAATTCCCCACCCCTGGTCAGGTATTGAGGTCTCTGTAAATTCCCAGCGCCGCTTTAGGTGTGCAAGATGAAGACCTTTCTAAAAAAGGTCTTTCCTCCACCCTCTCCTGCTTCCTCTCTATGCAGGACCAGCTTTTAAAGCACAATTTTGCATCCGTATCTGCTGCGTTTTAACTGCCCGGGGCGTCTCTGCAGAGGAATTTCTTGGCAGTTGTAGCCCATAAACAGCTCGGTGTTTGTGTCAACATTACCCTTTAATTTCAGCAGCTCCTGCTCCTCCCCGCTGTTTCTCCAGCCCTTCCCCCTCAGGCAGTATTTAGAGCTGGTATATGGGTATATATATTTAGAGCTGGTAATTGGATCTCTGCTCTGGTTGCCTTTGGCCGGGTCGAGCTCTTTGGTTTGTGATCGACCGCTCATTCCCCTTCTCTTCCTCGAGGCCTTTCAGTGCATTTATTAAACCATGAGGGTTTTCCTTATACAAATATCTTTATTCACACCAAAGGATCCCTCCTGTGCTCTTTCAGGGGCCACCGTTTTCCCTGTTTTATGGGGTCTTGTGGCAAAAATCCCATCTTGAACTCGCAAAACCTCACAGTTTATTAAATTGCATTCGGATCCACGAGGTGCGCTGACGCCGCGGCCTCTCGGTCGGCTTTTTCCGGGGTGTTGTAAGGGTCGCCTGAAGCCTGAGCGATGTTTTTGTGTTTACTGCTTCAGATTATTCAGTATATCGGGGAAATCTGCAGGTATCTTCTGAATCAGCCTGTCCGAGAGTCTGAAACCCAGCACTGCGTGCGGCTGGCGGTGGGCAATGGTTTGAGACCCACCATCTGGGAGGACTTCACCAAACGCTTCCGAATTAAGCAGATCGGGGAATTCTATGGCGCCACGGAGTGCAACTGCAGCATTGCCAACTTGGACGGGAAGGTGAGGGGGGAGAGGGAACAGCGACAGCTCAGGGGGTGCATGGAGAGGAAAAACCTGGGGAAAAACCTTAAATTTGGGGGGTTTTTTTGTGTCTTTTGACAGGTGGGTGCCTGTGGTTTCAACAGCCGTATTTTGCCCAGCGTTTATCCCATTCGGTTGGTGAAGGTGAACGAAGACACGATGGAGCTGGTCCGGAATTCCCACGGGCTCTGCATCCCCTGCCGCCCAGGTGAATCACAGACTCACAGAATGTCAGGAGTTGGAAGGGCCCTGGAAAGCTCCCCCAGTGCAACCCCCCCAGAGCAGGATCACCAGAGCAGTCACACAGGAACACGGCCAGGGCTTTGGGTGTCTGCAGAGAAGGAGACTCCACAACCTCTCTGGGCAGCCTGGGCCATGCTCCATAACCCTCACACTGACAACATTTGTCCTCATCTTCAGCTTGAACCTCCTGTGCTCCAGCTTGGGACCACTGCCCCTTGTCCTGGCATTGGCCATCCCAGAGCAGAGCCTGGCTCCTTCCTCCTGACACTGCCCTTTCCCAATGGATCCCCAGCAATGAGGGCACCCCTCAGGCTCCTCTGCTCCAAGCTCAAGAGCCCCAGCTCCCTCAGCCGCTCCTCAGCAGGAGATGCTCCCCAGTGGTCACTTCCCCAAGGGATAGCGCTTGGATGGTCAGGAAACACGGCAAGGCCACTGGCTCCCCATGGGTGCTGGGTCTGCCCCTCATCTTTGTGGCCCTGCTGGACTCTTTCAAGCAGTTCCTGTCCTCCTGGAGCTGCGGGCACTGGACCCAACATTGCAGCTGTGGTGTGAGCAGAGCAGAGCAGAGGGGGAGGAGAAGCTCTCTGATCTACACCCACCTCCTTTCATACACCCTAGGATGCCCTTGGCCTTCGTGGCCACAAGGGTGAATAAACCACCTGCAGCTCTTTATTCTATAAAATACCAAATCAAACAAGCTCTGGGTGCTTTCAGGAGTTTTTAATGCTGTATATAGATTTCCTTCCCAGTTTTTTCTCTGAAGATGGATTGGTTCAGCAACCTTTTGAGTGCACAAAGTTTAATCTGTAGTGAAATGTCAATGTGGTCCCATGTTTTCCGCAGGAGAGCCGGGCTTGCTCGTGGGCCAGATAAACCAGCAGGATCCCCTCCGCCGCTTCGACGGCTACGTCAGCGAGAGCGCCACCAGCAAGAAGATCGCCTCCAACGTCCTGCGGAAGGGGGACCAGGCCTACCTGTCAGGTACTGCCACGCCGTCCCTCCGGGGCTGGGCTTGAGAGCCCCAAATCTGGGATTTTTGGGTTGAATCAATGTCTGTAGAGGTCTTTTCCAACCAGAGCCATTCAATGTGTTGGTGTTTTGAAGTTGCCAGCTGTTGGCCATCCTGAGTGCCATCACACGGCACATGCAGGACAGCCAAGCAATCAGGCCCAGTCAGCACGGGTCAGGAAGGGCAGGTCCTGCTTGACTGGTCT